CGGGTCTTCCTTCACTGGCACGTTTGCTGCAGTGTCTCACCCAGGAGTTGTCCCCATCAGGAGCTGATGCGTTTTGGCTTGTGCTCAAGTGACCGCATTCAGGGCTTGCTCTCTTGCCCTCAGGTGCCGCGGAGCCTCTCCGAAGCGCCGGGCCCGCCAGGTGCCTCATCGTCAGGGTGGCAATGCCTGGGCTCCTACAAACCTGTGTTTCCCTAGCAGTGGGATTAAAAGCAGTTTAGGATTGTTCTTTGTGTGTTAGCATGTGAACCCTGAGGTTGGAGAGCTTTCCCCATGCTCTTTGTGCTTCCAGGAGGTGTGCTGCTGACTCTCAGCCAGTTCAGTGGAGAGGTCTTAGTCTGAAATGCTGCTGAAACCTAGGTTGAAATGTAGCCATTGGCTGTAATGTGGTAATGTCTAAATCCCTCTTATTTTTGTCTTTAAAAAATGTTTGGGTGGGTTGCACAGTTGAGTTTTTCTAGTTAAACATGTACTGCACTGAAATCTGCATTTCAATAGGCTGTTTAGAGGAATTGAAATGTGTTAATATTTAATTGTGGTTTAAGTTTGATTATTTAGATGACTTGTAAGAGAATATCAACTGTACATTGATGTATGGGTCGCCCTTGCTCCTCCACGCTTGCAGTCATTTTGACTATGGCTTTGTGAACTTGATAGATCGTGCTTTGGGAAACCACGTTTTCTCTTTTTCCACTTTTACACACATCTGTCAGTGCACATTTAATGCAAAATACACTCTGTGTGTGAATTTTAGTGCATCAATGAATAGGACAAACTAACTGGAAAGCAAGTTGGTTTTTGTACTTAATGGTGTTACTTACTGCTGGTAGCGACAGTCTTCAGGTTTTTGTTTGTCTGGAAGGGTTATGATTTCAAAATTAATGCCCATCTGCAGGACATTTTTGTCTCGGTAGAACATGTAAAAGGATTGTTTCGTGGTAGATTTTTTTTGTTGGAATATCTGCTCTGCGATGCAGAAGAGGTACAGTTTGTAATTAAACATGAGGACTTGGTACCCTCACTGGTGAAGTGGATGTGGTACAGCTGTGCTGCCTGGGTCTTGTTCCCCTTAAGTAGAGGTGGAAGGTAAGTTTCAACACAGGATTGGGAAAAACTCCCAAGCCTTGCAGTTTAGGCAAGCCCAGGATATCCCTGCGGTACTGAAGGCTAGTTTCGTGAGGATGTTATAAGAAATATAGTGATTTTTTTGATTTAGATACTTTTTTCAGACTGTAAAATGAAAACCAAACATTACATGTAACCGGGATTATTTACTAAGGGCACCTCCTTAAGTTAAATCAATAATGAATACGTCTGGCAGAACCTGGGTGGTAGCATTAAATTTCACCCAAGTTTGCTATTTAATAAGGCAGGGTAAGGTGAGAATTTCCACAAAGACATAGTTGTGCTAAGGTAGGTGTGAGAATGAAAAGCAAATATATCAGGATGACATTTAATACAGTACTTGTATAGTGAACTGTCTTAGTAACTGTGTCACACTTAAAAAGAGCCCATTTTTGAGTGGAAATGTGTCTTGCTGCCAGCTAGTTTGGAAGGTCTTCACCTAGAAGCCTTACTCTGTTCTCTGAGGTCAGATGGATCCTTTTGTAACGTCTGGGATCAGATGACATAGTACTAAAATGTTGCTTGTGTGGAATCAATCGCTTCGCAGCTCATTGTTTAATTGACATTTTATGTCCACTTGCCAAGCCAATAGTATAGCTTGACCTACAGCTTAAGCTATAAAACCTCGAGTTGTGGCAAAATACTGGGTAAGGGAGGGTGTTAAGATACATCTGAGGTTAATAAGGCAGTAGAGTACTTTTACTAGTGTGGTATCTTGTTTTACAAGGGAATTCTAAAATGTGTTTGTTCTGCTGTAATTTATGCATAGTAAATACACAGTGCTTACATAAAACTCTGATGGGAAATGCCTCTTATTCAACAGGGGCAATTCAGTTAGCAGATCTTTCTCTTCTTAGGTGAAGGTTTTTTTCAGACATCTGGGAACATTGTCTTTAGGGAGTAGTAATTGGTATGTGACTAAGCAAGGCAGTGCCTTACAGTTGCTCATCAGAAGAATCAGAATATAGAAGCCCAAAGGGTTATAGGGTGAGATTCTCGTATGAACTTTTATTCTGGTGTACATTAACGTTAAAGCTTTATTTATTTAAGTTGTCTTCTGGGGGTAGTGATCAAAGCCAGTGGCTCTTTGTATGATCAGGAGCAGATCCTAATAAGAAAGAACAAAAGCCAAAGTTACGAAATAGGAGTCATATTTTAGAGAGCAAGTAAGCTTAGCCTGCTTGTGGTTGTTAATAAGCTGCATTAGCAATGCAGTAGGCTTCCCTATCAAATCAGAAATAAAGGAAGAGGTAGGTCCATGAAAAAATACTATGCTTCAGCAGAAATAGCATATGAGCAGCACAAAAGTTTAGTTGGGATCTAGAAGGCAAACTAAGACTTTCCAGAATACATATATCAAAGGATCAAAACCAAATGTGAGATACTACGAAAAGGAGGAGTACAGGAATGTGAGGCTTCGGGATACTTTGAACTAAAGGGAATCAACATAGAAGATAAGGACTTTTCAGAAGCCAAAAACGGCTAGTTTGACTTGATTTTAGGGAATGGGAAGATAAGTAAATGTACACTGCAGAGATGCTGCTTGATAGCTAGTGTTGCAGGTTATAAAAATAGGATGATTTCAGACACAGAAAAGGACAAGTTGTTTTCAGTTGTGATGAATCACTGAAGCTGAATTATATTTATTTGATAATTCTGAAATAGTTATGTGTGAAGTGACTAAGCTGCTAAGAAAAATTCTCAGCTTATCATTAAAACTAACTGTTATACTTGGGAGATTGAACCTGCAAGAAATACCTTTGGAACGATAAGATAGTTAATCTATCCTAAAGAAGTAACCAATGGAAAAAGTACCTGGTTGAGCATGGCATGCATATTCTCTGCAAAAAGGGAACTAAGTAAACAGATCTTTGGCCTCACTTAAAATTAGTAGAGGTTTTGAGGGTTTTATCAAAAGATTTCCAGACACAGTAGATGATGTGTACAAGTGACAATTAAATAGCTGCATAAGGGGAAATCTAAGATCCAAAATTCAGAAATGCTGCAGGTCAGCACTAATCCTGTGTCTGCACAGGGGGTAACTGAAGTTGAGCTGAAAAGTTTGGTACTCTTACAGAAAGTAACTGTTAAATATGTATTTGAAATAATATAATTTATTTATTTTGGCTATTTGTTATGTCTTAGGTGAACATTCAAAAATACACTCGAGTCAAAAATCCTGGGAATACCGTATTTTAGCAGCTAGTTAAGGTATATAACATCTTCTTTGACAGATTAAATGGTTTCATTTAAATTATAGGGTATGAACCAAAGCTTGGTGAAGTCAGGAGAATTTGAGTTTTTAATTATGGCAGCAAGGAAAATATTGTCAAATGAAAAAGGAATTCTGTTTGTACCTCACTGTCACTGTGTAACAGTGCTACTCTTGGGTGGAACGAAACCAAAGATACTATGCTTTCAGTTGGCAAATAGGGGTAATGAACTGCGTGCAGCTTCAACATGACAGATGGTTTGAAATAGAAAGGCTACATGCATGTGTTAACAAACTTGATAGCGTAAGTGTGAAGTGTTAGGCTGTATCTGTTTAAGTAACAGATTTTTCATGGAGACTGTTTTTTGTCTTCTGTGTTCCTCTCAACCAGAACTCCATGGACCAATTTCCTTCAGGATCTTGCATGTCAACAGAGATCATGAGAGCTGTTATTTTCTTAATTTTCTCTTGAACTAAGGAATAGCTACTAAAGTGCAACCTGTAGAAATGAAGGGGAAATAATAATGGAATTTTTAAACATTTACATCTAGCTTGTTTTATGTGTTTCTTAATGTTAAATGTTAGTAAGCTTATTTTATGTGAACTCACCAGTGACTATATGTGAGCCTAATTATCTGCATGTTTCTGATTACAGTGTAATTTTGCTGCCATTTAAGTGTTATGAAATGTCATAACATGCTATTATGCTTTAAGAAGACTGAATTTGCCATAATTTTTATAGAACTAAACCCACTCTTGGTGATTTAGGGAAATATCAGTCATTAAAAACTGAGATACCGTTAAAATTTTCATAAGGTATGTTGGAATGCTGATCCTGGAATTGGTTTCCTAATCACCATTCATTTTGATGTAGTCATTCACATTGCATTCAGTTTGCCTCTTTGTTACTTCCTTGCAAACCTTAGTGTTAGTTTCATAGGCATTCTCTTTTTAAAACTACTGCTTCTGCTTTTTAATGGGGACTTCTGTCTCTTTCTACAGTGAAGGGAAGTCAGAAGTGTGAGCTGAATTGCCGTGCAGTAGGCTACCGATTCTATGTGAGACAAGCTGAAAAGGTGATCGATGGGACACCCTGTGACCAGAATGGAACTTCAATCTGTGTGGCAGGGCAGTGCAAGGTAAGGCTACTATCTCTAGCAAGTCTGCCTCTGTACTGTCTATTCCACATGTAATTTCCGTAAGAGGTTGATACCACTGTACTTGTGATATGGTGTCTTTAATGTGCTCTCTCTTTTTCTTTTTTCCTTTTTCTTTTAAGTAGATGTGAAAAATGTTAACTTTATTTATGACAGAAACATTATTATTTAGAAACATTAATTTCTCAATTAATGTTTCTGTCTGCTGAGAACAAGCTATGGAAGTTGTTCTGGCCACAAGGTGACTTCCAGTGAGCTTTTTCCACATATTTAGCTTTCTGTGGAAGACATTCTATGGAAGAATCAGAATAAAAAGATTAGAAGCTTAAATAAGAGTGAAATATATCTTTCTTTGATTAAACTTCAGAATGGAGACAGGGGTTTTTTTCAGTCTGCAAAATAACGGTTTCTTCAATTATGTGCTTATTTTGATTGATTTTTAACTGGTGTTACTGTAACTTTTCTTATTGGCTCATGTTTGCCACTTTTAAGAATCAGGTCTTACTGGCTGTCCATTTACTCAGCAGTGATGTTCTCTTAGAAAAGTCTTCAGTGAATGGTTACTTTTTAAGAGTTCAGAAGGAGCGACTGTGGTGACTTTATTCAGTCTCCTGTGTAGATTCCCTCTGTAATGAATAAATACTCTGCTTTCTGCAACAAAATGTTACAGTGTTTAGGAAAAAAAGTTTATAATCTTTCAAGTAAGGTTAGTGAAACAAATTCCTTGCAAGGGACACTTTATGCTTGGACATTATTTCTCATGTATTTTGGCAAAAGAAACAGAGGTGGGTCAGATGTGACTCATGAACTGAAAAGTGAAAGGTCAAGTTCAGTTTAAATAGTTGCCAGAGGGAATCACTTGCAAATACAACCTTTTCTTCTGCATGTCCAGATTCCTCTTACTTGTGCACATCTGGACAACGCCATGTATGTTTTTGTTCTATATTTCTTAGTATAAGCAAAGCCATAGCTTTGAATTTCCTTTGTAGATGATATTTCTTAGTTGATTTTTGTTGAGCTTTGTAGTTGATTATTTTTAAGGCTTTCCTTGACCTCAGACCAATTCAGAAAGGGCTAGAAATCTGTGTTAATTGCAGTTCTGATCTAGGACTCAGAAAACTGAAAAAGAGATTCACTATACCAGCTGTTGTATTTTCCCAATACTGTACAATTACAAAAGTGTATACTGATACATTTGTGTTGGAGGTCTGGGATAGAAGGGAAAGGCAGTGTTCAGCAGCCTCGTAGGAAACTGCTTTGAATTCTGAAAATTGCCCATCGTCTGCTTAGAATGCCACTTCCCAAAGCTGTATATTAACATACAACACATTGTGAATCCTTATGGGGAATGTGTAACTTAGGATTCATAGAATTGTAGAATAATTCAGGTTGTAAGGTACCTGGAAGCTTGGGTTGTTCAACCCCCTACTTGAAACAGTCTGCCATATGAGATAAGTATAGCCTTTTCCAGGTTGAATTTTGAACCTGTTCCAGTGTTAGAGTAACATTATGGTAGAATTTTTTCCCTCGTATTTGACTGAAATTCCCTGTATTGCAGCTTCTGCCCTGGATCTGTCAACCTAGCACTGTACATCTCTGAGAATCTGACTCTGTCTGTTCTGTTACTGTCCCATTAGATGTAGACAGGAGTAAGATCCTCCATAGCTTCTCTAAAGGAATTCCTAGGCTGTAGTGGTTTGGGGTTTTTTCCAGTGTTTTTTGTTTTGGTTTTCCTCTTCCCCCTTATGGTGTTGTAAATAGACCTGAAAATAAAAATCTCTGTCTGCTTAAACTTTTCCTCAGTGATCCTTACTTAATGCTTGGTGATGTAGTCTGTTCTCAAAGAGTTAAATAGAACCAGTTCTGTACTGGTGCTCTGTGCTTTATAAGCAATGTTATGATGAGAAAGCCAATGTAAAGCAGGTAAAGGCAATTCTTACTTTGTGCACTTTGTAGTGATTCTCACTACAGCAAAGTCGAATCGGGGCTGAGAGAAGTTGAGGGAGTTGGCAGAGTCCTTATGTGCTGTAGTATTAACTGTACTTGTGCAGAAGGGTTAATGTTGGAGGCTGTGGGAGACACATCTAGCTAAAATATTAAAACGGTTTTATTCCTCTTTTGAAGAGGAACCTAATTCAGACGTTTCCCAGCTTCTCCTGATTAGTTCTTTTGGTCTGTAGCAAATTACTCTTAATTAATTTCTTGTAACCTTAGTAAAATTGTGGTGTGGATGTCAGCAGAAAGAGATTTGACCTGTTTGACCCTGTAATAGTCACATCGAGATTTTGTCTGGGTTTAAACCACACTCAACTTTTAGTTTCAAAGTTTTGAGTTAGTGTTCAAGGAAGTATTCAGATACACATGTTAAACTAAAGGAAAATACAGTATTACAGCTTCATGGTACTTTGGAGAACTGTTATTACTGACTCAGTTGTTCTTATTTCAGTGATTTCTATGGTTCAAGATTAGAAAGTCAGTGCTACATCTTCGGTGAAAATTTACCTCCCAGTAGTCAATAGCATGTTTGCATTTGAGGGAAGTTGATAATGTCAGATGAGATGTGCTTCATTTTTCTTCTTAAAAGTATTTTTATTTTTCAGGATACATTCTTCTGTTGGAATAAAATTACATCTTGTTCCATGTGTAAAATATCATGTTCTCTATGATAAATAAATCTGATATACAAATGAATAAGTTGCCCCTCTTCTTGGGCTCTGCATCCTGCTTGCTTAGACAGCAAAAGTATTAAAAATAAATAAAATAATTCTACTCAACAGTGATCCTGTACACTGTAGAGTGAACATGGATGAAGCTGATGGAGGTAATAGAGAATCAAATAGTTTGTTTTGTTGTGTCAGATGCTTAAGAGAATATTTTTCTGAAAAGTTGTCAGAATTTACAGTTAACAAAATATTTCTCAAGTAACGGAGCGTATTCAAATCTTTGTGGTAGGTAGCTCTTCCTTAACTGCACATTATTTTTATTGTATTGTCAGATTAGAGTCTAACGAATGAATTTATGGTCTCTGTCACCCTCTGTTGGGCATTTTGCTGCATTACCAGAACAATGATGTCCTTGTGTTAAAAAAACTGATCTGCTTTTTTTCCCAGGAACCCATTGTTTCTGGTTGGTATTTTCAGCTTACCTTATTCTTAGAAACAAAAGATGGAAGGTGTCGCTGTAATAACAATTGTAAGAATCACTTTGAAACAGAATAAAGAATATAATAAATACAGCTTTACCTTAATCTGAAATAAAAATTAAACATGTATGAAATAAAGTATTTCTCGCTTCTCACTTTTTAATCACTTAAAACATTATGTAAGGCAACCACAAGTAACATTATTTAGAAGTTCTCAATATGTAAAGTGCAGTCACTCTTAACACTGAAAATACGTTAAAGAAAAGTTGCCTTAGTGTCAAAACCAGAATATTTAATTCATTCTCTCCTTTCTGAATTGTTAACCAATGATAGAATAGCTTTTCAAAACTAAAGTATTGTTTAATCATATCAGCAAAGATAAACAATAACGTAAGAGAAGATTTTAAAAACAGTAGTATGTACAAAAGTCCTCAAAGCCTGATTGTTGTGGCCATTACAGTGTCATGCTGGAAGTTTAGAACAACATATTTCTGACTACCTCTAAGCAGCATCCCAGTAACAATTTCCTTACTTCCAGGGAGTGGCTCTTTCACTGTTTTCTGTTATTTTGTTCAGCTGGTCTCCAGAGTTGGGGGTAAAAACTTGACAACTTTTCCAGCACGAAAGGTGATGTGTACAAGGTCACTTTTCAGACATAGTTGTTTAACAAAACTTAATATGTTCTTATGATTAAGTATCCTAATTTGTTGGTTAGTTTCTTAACTTTCTTGTTTGTGACATTGCAGTAACTGGCATATATAATAATACAGGTACTAAAAAAAGCCCTCACTCATCACTGAAGTGATTATGTACTTCCTCGTGTAGAGTAGACTCTGAATTGTAACAAAACAACACCTTTTTAAAGCAATTAAATAATTTTAAAATAAAACTAGGCGAAACAGGAAGAACTGGGTGATATTCTACCTGTGCAGAAGCAAGAAATATAACAATGATCTTGATAATCAGTTTTATTATGTCTGTGCAAAACTGTTTTTCTGCACATTTGAACAATACTCTTTCTGATGTTTGGAATGTGAATGACCTTTTTTATTAACAGTCCTATTGAGTTCCACTTTCTTTTTTCAAATTTTTGGTTTAGTGGTTATTGCTAATATATATGCTTTGAATATGTTTCAGTATTATTGATTATGTGTTGTTTGTTTTAATACATTTGCTACCCCTCTCCTAACTCTAAATTTTCACAATACTGTTAAGTTAAAGAATGCCTATGAATGGGGCTTCTTCAACTTGCTATTTAGCCAGAAGTGTGTGTTATGTCCTTGTTTTGCAATTTTTTTCCTGCTTGTTTTAAATCAGTGTATCCTTATATTTCTTCTGGAGCCAGTGGGATGATTCTGCTCACTAACTTTTCAGTTTAGAAGAGAAATGCAAGTAGGATTTTGAGCAGTTTTTAATAAATAAAATACGAGGAAAGAATGCTCTTAATAATTTTGTCATTGATCATAGTTTACTAAGTACGTGTAGG